TCTCCATCTTGGGGCTCCATGATCATCTTGTCACCGGCATGACACCATGATCTCCATCATCATGATCTCCATCATCATGTCTTCATGAAGTTGCTCGCCAACTATTACTTCTACTACTATGGCTAACGCGTTTAGCAATAAAGTAAAGTAATTTACATGGCATTTCTCAATGACACGCAGGTCATACAAAGAATAAAGACAACTCCTATGGCTCCTGCCGGTTGTCATACTCATCGACATGCAAGTCGTGATTCCTATTACAATAGCATGAACATCTCATACATCACATATATATCATTCATCATTCATCACAACTTTGGCCATATCATATCACAAAGCACTTGTTGCAAAAACAAGTTAGACGTCTTCTAATTGTTGTTGCAAGTTTTACGTGGCTGAAATAGGGTTCTAGCAAGAACGTTTTCTTACCTACGTGAAAGCCACAACGTGATTTGTCAACTTCTATTTACCCTTCATAAGGACCCTTTTCATCGAATCCGCTCCAACTAAAGTGGGAGAGACAGACACCCGCCAGCCACCTTATGCAACTTGTGCATGTTAGTCGGTGGAACCGGTCTCACGTAAGCGTACGTGTAAGGTTGGTCCGGGCCGCTTCATCCCACAATACCGCTGAAGCAAGATAAGACTAGTAGCGGCAAGAAAGTTGACAACATCTACGCCCACAACAAATTGTGTTCTACTCGTGCAAGAGAACTACGCATAGACCTAGCTCATGATGCCACTGTTGGGGAACGTTGCAAAAAATAAAAAATTTCCTACGGTTTCACCAAGATCCATCTATGAGTTCATCTAGCAACGAGTGATTGGATTTCATCTACATACCTTTGTAGATCATGCGCGGAAGCGTTCAAAGAACGGGGATGAGGAAGTTGTACTCGACGTGATCCAAATCACCAGAGATCCTAGCGCCGAACGGACGGCACCTCCGCGTTCAACACACGTATGGTCAGCGTGACGTCTCCTCCTTCTTGATCCAGCAAGGGGAAAGGAGAGGTTGAGGGAGATGACTCCAGCAGCAACACGACGGCGTGGTGGTGATGGAGCTACAGTACTCCGGCAGGGCTTCGCCAAGCACTATGGAGGAGGAGGATGTGTTGGAGAGGGAGAGGGAGGCACCAAAGGCGTGGGGGGAGAAGTCCTCCATCTCCCCACTATATATAGGAGGGCCAAGGGGGGGCGCCGGCCCTAGGAGATCCAATCTCCTAGGGGGGCGGCGGCCAAGGGAGGAATCCCTCCTCCCCAAGGCACCTAGGAGGTGCCTTCCCCCTTTGGGACTCTTCCCTTCTTGAACCCTAGGCGCATGGGCCTCTTGGGGCTGGTGCCCTTGGCCCATGTAGGCCAAGGCGCACACCCCTACAGCCCATGTGGCCCCCCGGGGCAGGTGGCCCCACCCGGTGGACCCCCGGGACCCTTCCGGTGGTCCCGGTACAATACCAGTGACCCCGAAACTTGTCCCGATGCCCGAAATAGCACTTCATATATATAATTCTTTACCTCCGGACCATTCCGGAACTCCTCGTGACGTCCGGGATCTCATCCGGGACTCCGAACAACATTCGGGTTACTGCATATACATATCCCTACAACCCTAGCGTCACCGAACCTTAAGTGTGTAGACCCTACGGGTTCGGGAGACATGTAGACATGACCGAGATCGCTCTCCGGTCAATAACCAACAGCAGGATCTGGATACCCATGTTGGCTCCCACATGCTCCTCGATGATCTCATCGGATGAACCACGATGTCGAGGATTCAATCAATCCCGTATACAATTCCCTTTATCAATCGGTATGTTACTTGCCCGACATTCGATCGTCGGTATCCCAATACCTTGTTCAATCTCGTTACCGGCAAGTCACTTTACTCGTACCGTAATGCATGATCCCGTGACTAGACACTTGGTCAGTTTGAGCTCATTATGATGATGCATTACCGAGTGGGCCCAGTGATACCTCTCCGTCATACGGAGTGACAAATCCCAGTCTTGATCCATGTCAACCCAACAGACACTTTCGGAGATACCCGTAGTATACCTTTATAGTCACCCAGTTACGTTGTGACGTTTGGTACACCCAAAGCACTCCTACGGTATCCGGGAGTTACACGATCTCATGGTCTAAGGAAAAGATACTTGACATTGGAAAACTCTAGCAAACGAACTATACGATCTAGTGCTATGTTTAGGATTGGGTCTTGTCCATCACATCATTCTCCTAATGATGTGATCTCGTTATCAATGACATCCAATGTCCATAGTCAGGAAACCATGACTATCTGTTGATCAACGAGCTAGTCAACTAGAGGCTTACTAGGGACATGTTGGTGTCTATTATTCACACATGTATTACGATTTCCGGATAACACAATTATAGCATGAATAAAGACAATTATCATGAACAAGGAAATATAATAATAATGCTTTTATTATTGCCTCTAGGGCATATTTCCAACACCCTTAATTGTATAAAATGGAACTGTATGCATGGGGGGGGGGGTAATAATGAAGGTTTTGTTTCACAAGATTTTAGGAGTATATTGTCAAGAAAAGTAACAGAACTGAGGTGATGGCAATGCTAAGGAATTTTGCAGCAATCTTGGATTGTACTCTTAGGCTTATGGCAATCATGAATTGTACTGTCTTCATTTGTGCTTCAACTTTGAGAAATAGAATAAGCAGGTCATATTTCTTTAAACTTTATATTATCTAATATGTATTTAGAAATTGGAATACAAAGCCCTTGACATTACAACAGGAGCATACATGAGGGAAGAACTTACATCGAATATAATAATGGAATACCAATGCAGCGACTCTCCTTCCCTCCCTGTGCTTTAGTTATTCGAAGTTAGTTTCACTAAACTGAAACTGCAGTCATAGATCATTACGGGTTTTCTCTGAACTTTGCATCTAACTGTTACATATTTAACTATTAATTAATAATGTGAGAGATTACAGCTGCAGGACTGATGTCATTGGCACTCATTTGCAAATTTACGAATCCACTTAGGAGATGAGATTAATATATGCTTTGTCAGCAGAAGTCCTAGGTACCGAAGTTGGATTGCTTATAAAAAATCTGTACAGTTGGATTGCTAAAATCCGACGTGTGCTATATGATTCTGGAAAGGCAACACAACTTTGTCTTGTTGTCAACAAGAACATTTTTCAGATTTATATTAATTTTCTTTGGATTGGTGAAGTGTTTTAGTTTTACAATGTATTTGATGCAAACAATTTTTTTTGGCAAGAAGTATTTGATGCAAACATAACACTGTACAAAATCTCGGGTTCAGTCAAAGGAAAGATGTGCCTGAGGTACTTTGTTTATCCCCTTTCAAATATGATTACATGATACTTTATAATCCTTGTTCAACTAATGGTGTATTTTTATGCGTAGTACTATGAGAAATAGTGGATTTTGTGTATTGGGACTATCATGGTTATAACATTTCTTTTTATATGATACAACATGGGTCATTTTATGAGAAACACCCAATAAGATTAATGTAAAACAAGGGGAAAAAATTGTTAGATAGTCATATATCGCATACACATTACCCTTGATAAAGACATTCGTAAAATAGAAAATGTAGATAATCAATCTCTGTATATAGCTTTTATTTATTATTCCGTGGCAACGCACGGGCACTCAGCTATCAGATTAAATGTTGCACCTCCCCGACCATCCGATTTATTCAGTAACTACCCATATTGATGCTCCAACTCCTTATGATAAGCTGACCGAACAAAGAACGTTCCCAGTTGTTTATAAATCCAAGCAACAAAATCTCTGATCTCTAGCGCATTCAATGTAATTTGGAGAATTCGTTGAGCATCCACCATAAACAAAACATCACGATAAGAACTTCATCCCACTGTCTTGAAAGTGGGTTAATCAGTTCTTCAACTTTTGTCAACATGATAACCCCTATAGGAGTGATAACTTTTTGGCTTGACTAAATGGTAACCATGGATCTTGCTAAATATTGATCCGAGAGCCAGTACCAACCACCACACTATTTAAAAATATGAATATTACAAACAATGCTTAAACAAGTATTACACTAGAATGGTGTAACTTTTTCCCCAAGCAAACCCCCAACCATAGTTTTTTCCGAGCAAAGCCCAACCATAGTTTTTTCCGAGCAAAGCCCAACCATAGTTGGGAGGTCCAAATACTTATCGGAGAGAGCTTCTCTTTTTTTTGCGAGAGGAGAGAGCTTCTCTTATACTCCCTCCGTCCGAAAATACTTGTCATCAAAATGGATAAAGAGGGATGTATCTAGAACTAAAATACATTTAGATACATCCCCTTTTATTTATTTTAATGACAAGTATTTCCGGACGGAGGGAGTAATATACAGTTCCATGCATACATCCTCTCTCACGGAAACATTACTCCCTCAGCTCCATATTAATTGCTGTTGATTTATGTAGTATTTGAGCTAGAAAAGTGCTAGATTTAGCATTTTCTAACCAATTGCCCCGAGCTCTTATAGATACTTTGGTTAATTTGACCACTAAAGTTGTTCAAAAAAATACGGATTGCTCCTAATCCTTGTCTGGCCTGCAAGGTTCCACCCGTGTGCTTGATTGTTTCGGTGTTTCGGCCCAACCTCCCCCGTGAACTCTCCTGCCCAACCAACTCAACTGCGTGAACGAGCCCCTTCAGCGCCGAACGTGCTAGCATTCCGAGCACCACCAGCAGCGCAGCACACAGTGCGTATCTGGTGATACCGTGTGTGGCATGATCCCCTGATACGAGACCTTGTTGGCCGTTCGTGGCATGATCCCCTGATACGAGACCTTGTTGGCCGTTCGATCTGGACTGGAGGCACAGGATGGAGCAGGCTCAGTTCGCATTGCAATTTATGCAAAAGACACCCTGGGTTATTCCGTGATTCAGCCGAAGTGCAGACCGCTCTGTTCCGTTTTCCTCTTCTTCGATACGAAATTTTCCCCACCGCCGCCGCTTAGGTCATATCCTACCGCCGCCGGCCACCACGGAGCATGCCCCATCCGCTGCTGGACGCCCCAATCCAGAGCAACCTAGAGGGCTATCGCGCGTGCGCCGAATAGTTTGCTCAGAGCCGGCACAAGCTGTTGGCATCCCCATGGGAGCGGAGACGAACCTCTCGTCGCCGCAGCTAGATCCGACCAAGTCGCGGGAGTCGGTGACCCTACTCAACGACGATCAGGTAAGAGGCAGCGCCTCCTTTCTTGTCAGTACCTGGCCGTTGCATTCCAGATTTTGATTATTTGGTTTTAGAACTGGATGTTGGCGCTGCGGGAGTCTGTGTCGTTCGGGCGGTTCCTAGCCGAGCCACTCGAGTGGGATACTACTGGGCATGTCTCTCGCTGGCAACGATGGCGCATGTCCGATCACCGTCGACAGCTGAGCTTGATCTGCCAGTACATGCCGTGGCGTTCAGACTTCAATCTGTGTCCTCCAGCTGCAGTGTTGCGCACATTGGAAGTTCTGGACCAGCCCAGAGTTGTAATCCATGCTTGCCTGCGGCTCGTTCGTCACTAAGTGCAACACATATTGGAAAAGCCGATCTCTATATGATAAGTTCATCCTATAATCTCATTAAATAATTGATTTATTTGTGGGTATCAATATAGAATTGAAACCAATATGTCATCCTATTAGGACAGTTAAACTAAATAAAGCAACAGTAGTTGCCTGTAGTAAGAAAGATGTAACATTAGGCAGTAGCAGTCGACGGCTACGTAAAGAGGTGTGGCAGCAGCAACTTCAGTGTTCGTCCGGACATCTTTTTTTGAGAATATAAGATTTGCTTTTCAATTGTTCTCCACAATGTAGCCCTTAATGATAGGAAACCTTGCATGAAAGACTCTGAATAAGTGTTGATGTGCAAAAGCATTATCACTAGGAAATATTTTTGGGAACATATAGGCACACAAGAAGGTGCCTCTTTGTTTGGCCATTTCCTTTTGTGAGTCGTGGGTTACTTCTAGACAAGGCTAGAGTGTCACAACTCTTAGGCAACTGTTCAATTGTATGTCAACAAATGAACAAACTGGAAAAATCATGCAGATACAGCTACATGTACTATTAGTTCTAGTATAAAATTATGTGTCTCACATTTCAGTCGCAGCAGATGTTAAAGTTAATTCGTAGTGGAGATATGCATCAGTATTTTAATCTTGAAGATTTAGAAGAATGATTACTGCAACATAGTGATGTTCTTGTTCAGTCATTGGTTCTGGCATCTAATCCTGAGATCTAGCAGTGTTATAATATCACCACTTCTTGTCCTAATATGTCCATCTGAACTGTATATACACGTAATCTTTCTTATAAAGTGTCAGAATGTTTCTTACATACAGTAGTTGAAAACCTCATGTACAACCTGGCATAAGTGAGCATTTAGAGTAATTGACTAAAATTCATGCCAAATGAGGCTCAATAATGCTTGACTAACAGAAAATCCCAGTAGAACTCTAGGTCAGGCTGGGACCTCCCAGTATTGGAAATCTATGTACTTGTTCTCACTTTGCAGCAGCTGGAATTAGGAAAGTTTGATGGAACAAAATTACTTTATCACAGTGTAATAAGCTGACTTGCTGGCCAAATAAACTGGCCTGCTAATCAAAATAGTGTCTTCTTTGACTATCTACAACTACTATGGGTAAAATAAGATATAAGCATTGTTTAGTTTTCTAACAAGAGAACAATGACATGGAGGGCGAGTAACAAACCTTTCGTACTCGGCACACTGAACTCAGTACATGTGCGATTGTCGGCTGCTACTTTCTTGATTAACTACATAGCAAAAGTGGAAAGAAGAAAAAGAGGTGAATATAACTCTACTGTTCGTGACTTGTGAGCATGTCATGATCTCTTAGAGTATGTTTGGTTTCTGTCATCGGATGGAATGTAATGGGTCGGTTCCATCCCGTGTTTAGTTAGTCGAAGGAATCGGAATATGAAACAGCATATTCGCTGATTATGCCGAACCGAGGCGTTCCTCGAAAACGAGCGGACCACGCAGAACCACCTCTCTCGCGTGCCTCTCCCCGTCAGCGCCGCGTCCGTCCCGCACCTCTCCCTCTCTCTATCTGAGCCGCCGCCGCCCAAAACACTTCTCTCGCTCTCCGGCGGCGGCTGTACCTCGCGTCCCAGTCGTCTATCCTCTCCCATGGCGTGCAGCAACAGCTTGGAGGCGATCTAGCAGCAGGCGGCAGGCTAGTAGCCAGCGGAGCAACATAAACAGAGAGCAGGACGCGGTTGCCTGTTCCTGTCGTCATCGGTGGCCGCCGCGTCGTCCCAACGGATTGGCGGGTCTTCTTTTCCCGCGGCTTGTTCCTGTCGTCGCTGCTGTTGGTGCGAAGCAGAGCACAAGCAGGACGACAGTGTCTCGCCGCTATTGGTGCCTGACACCGCTCGGTTTGAGCGATTTGCCTGACTTCAGATTGATTTCCGGGAGCACCTACCTTGATACTAGTTGATACATTTGAATTGATTTCCGTCCGCAGCAATCTTCATACTACTTGATACTTCTGAATTTGACGGCGAGAGCAGCAATCTTCACCTGGTCGGCGACGGAAGAAATCAATTTCCCTTCCACCCTGCTTGATATTACTACGTAGTTGATGCGCTACTGTTGATGCTCAGTACCAGTACTAGTTGATGCGTATTTAATCACCGTACTAGCACTTGGAGAAAATAATTCTTCGTGACCTGTATCTTATCCTATTCCTCTAACCAAACGCTGAGACTACTGAACACTAAGACGGAACCATTCCGTTCCGATGGAATGGAACCATTCAATTCTATTCCACTTGGTTCTACAACTAAACACACTCTTAGTGTAACAAGCGATTTTTTTTTACATGCTGTTATAGGTCAAGAAACAACAAAATTGATCAGGAGAATTAGATGGGGCAACAGACATGCAGGTTATTTGGCGTCACAGAAGTGTTTACGGTTTCACATATTTAATGTTGTATGATCTTTTGGAAAGTGTTTACGGTTGTTGTAATTCTTGATGTTATCATGTAGGTGTGCATTTCTGCCCAGCATAGGATGGCGTACAAGGAGAATATGGAGTCACCAAGTGATCTGTAGTGAAGCTGTTTGGTTTAATTATGTAAATTAGTGAACTAAGTAATACGCTTGTAAATATATGTATATTAAGGTCATGTTAATTCCTAGACCAAGATGGCAGCATATGATGCACCTTTATTTGTTGAAATGCTTCTGATCCAACGATCTTTTGATGCTATGAATGATTTTTGGCAATTTGCTATCCCTCACAATTTGCTAGCTTGTACTATTGTTTGTTGAGATGGATTTTTTGTCAAGATTTCTGCTAAATATTTTGATCATCGAAAATTTCAGATGTGAATACAGGAATGGAAAATTGGTTGATGCTGATCACATGCCTATATATTCATTATGAAATAAAATTGATGGTGACCTGAAGGCGCAAGATACGAATGTTTCAAGTTGTTGCTTGCTGTACTGATGAGAGCTTACTTTAAATGTACTGAATTTTAGCATGTACTACGCTTTATTTGTTCAGCTGGGCAACATTCATTTTTGTGTTGATTGATCACATGTAAAGTAACAAAACAAGGCCTAAATGATGTGGTTTAAGTTTGATTAATTCACGCGTTTTGTTTTGATTCAGATAAGATAAGCTGGTATAGTGTTCGTACTTGTTGGTAGAAACTGGGATTTTTTTCGAAACTATGATAACTTTTATAGCAAATTCGGAAACTATACACCTTAATGCATAAAAATCAAAAATATCACCCTTTCGGCCTCCTGTTGGCCGAAGAGGGACTTTTCTGTCTACTGTTGGCAGAAGAGGGTCTCTTCGGCCAACCATTGGCCAAAGAGGACTTTTCGCCAACCGTTGGCCAAAAAGTGGTCTTCGGTCAATGGTAGGCCAAAAAGTGGTCTTCGGTCAACACCTGCTCTTCTGTTTAAAAAATTCATATCAATTAGGATTTTTAGTATTTTAATTTGATTCTTTTTGCATTAGATTATAAATTTTATGAAGTTTCTGTAAATATCAAGTTTGACTAGATTTGAAAATTTGAATTTGAATTTTCTCAAATCACTAGATTGCCTATAATTTGAGCTGGGGGTATTTTTTAGATGATTCTTTTTTGCTAGTGGTTCTTTGTGACTTTATTTATCAGTAGTAATTAATTGGCAAATTTTAGGATTATTTAAAATTGGATTTTTATGAAAACAGTTCTATTTTAGTGTTTTATAGGTTTTGTGCTATTTCTTTTAATTTTAATTACTCTAAATTGTTTTCTTTAGCTTTTTTGACATATTCTTTTAATTTCTGTTAATTTATCAGTAGCTATTTTATTTGTAGTATTCTTTTGTATTTTATTTCTTTTATCCTACTAGAAAACTTTGAGCTTGATAGGAGTTTATATTTAAAAGTGCCTTATAAATCCTGTACAACCATTGTCGTTTTATACATGAAAAAACTATACTTTCCCGCAATATTTTTTCCTCCATTTTCTTTCCCGCCATTTTCTTTCCCGCCATTCTCTTCCTCCACACTAAGGAGGCCAGTGTAGTCTCGTCAAGATGTCCGGTTATCCTTTTGATCGTAGTTGTTTTCACCCTAGTATGTTCAAATGTCTTTTGAGTTTAGACACCAATTTCACGATAGACAATAGGATAGTTCCATGAGACGAACTCCTCAGTAGTGACACCTTACTGAATGAGTTGGCTCACACATTAAGTAGGTGCGGGTAGCCTGCAAGGACCTTTGAGGAGATACGAAAAGAACTTCTCAGGTTGCATGGAAGATGGAAGAAGCAACAACATAAGGGTGAAGCATTCCTAAAGGCTGCAGCAGAACATACTTATTTATTGACCCAAGACAACGAGGATGAAGACGATATTTTCATGCCGAGCACCAAGGGCAAGAGTACCGCATCGTCAAAGGGCAAGAGTGCTGCATCATCAAAGGGCAAGAGTGCTGCATCGGCGGAGGATGACGATGATGCCTTCATGTGGAGTGTGAAACACTCTCTAAGAGAAGTCATAAGTGTGAAACACTCTCCGATGATGATGACGAAGCTGCAAACACTTATGACTTCTCTCAGACAGTGTTTCACACTCCACCACCAGCACCGACGCAGGAGACACATACCGTGTCAGACGATGTTATCTACGGTCGTGGACACCGTGAGGCTCGTTTTATAAGTTGAGAAGAGAAGATGGCGAGAAAGAAGATGGCGGAAAAGAAGATGACGGGAGAGAATGGCGGGAAACAAAATGGCAGGGGAGAATGGCGGGAAAGAAAATGGCGGGACAGAATGGCGTGAAAGAAAATGGCGGGAGAAAATGGAAGGAGAGAATGGCGGCAAATAAAATGACGGAAAAGAAAATGTCAGGAGCAAATGGCAGCAAAGAATGGCGGGAGAAAATGGCGGCAAAGAATGGCAGAAAAGAAAATAGCGGGAGAAAATGGAGGGAAAGAACGGTGGGAAAGAAAATGAAGGATAAAAAAATATAAAAAATACTACAAA